TTTTTATTCGTAATAAAACATGTTTAGGTTTCGGGGGCATAATTATCTCCGTATCTTTCGGTGCTACTGGGGAACCGAGATGGATGAAAAGGTCTTCGTGGACAAACAAACAGTCGCGTGGCTTGTCAATCGCCAACGAACGTCGACGGACAAATGAAAGACGTCGTCCAGATAGTCCAAACGAGCAGAAAGTCATGATTCAGGTCCCCACTTCTCCATAAGTCGGAGTCGTTACTTTATATACAGCAAGTGCATTTGAACCCCTGACAAGGTGCCATAATTTGCAAGGGGACAAGAAATGCGGCAAATGCAAGTTCCGGCAGTGAGCGAGTCGCGGCAGCAACCGTCCCATACATCTGTCAGTGAAGTCGAGCTCGTACGTCGTCTTGACTCGCCCTGCCCTGCTCTGCTGCTGACTTCCGGTCGACGACAGGCGCCGCAGCTCACTGCAGTCAGGTCGCACAATGAGGACGCGACGCCGTGATAGTACAGTACTTCCGTAACGACTCGAAGTCAACCTCGCAGGCGAATTTTGCGAGGTACTGGTGGAGGACCCGGCCCCGGTACCGTTCCGTAATGTGGTGCACTTCCGAGGGCTGGCCCGGCCTGTTCGTATCGGGGACGTCGCCCCACTCCCCGTACCGAGTAACGGAGGGTGTTCCATGCCAGACGTTACTCGATGACATGGTTCTCAGGGGCCCTGGACGAACCACGTAAACCACATCGTCCAGCAACTCTGTCCTGTCTGAGAAGAAGAAGACAAAACAAATACGGGACCGCAGTTGGCAGTTTCATTCGAAAGTGAGGCTTCCGGGGAAAAGGAGACGGATGGTCAAGAAACCTCGTTAATAATTTAAGGTGTAGCTATCTAAGCATGAACTGTTTTATTCACGTTCTGTTTTTCCGTTAAAGCTTGAATATGACCTTAAGTCCGCCACAACTTGTTTGATTTTCTGCCTGCCTGTGAGTACTCACGAAGACTTTGTTCCGTGAAATCTTAACAATTTTTTGGTACGGTGACGAGTGTTTGACTTTTTTACGAGTGGCGAGTCAGCAACCAAAGCTCCGACTTTGAGCTAAGTGTACAAAGTGGGAAACTCCCTATTCATTGCATTCGTATAAGACATGGTTGTGAACACCTCTTGAGGAGTAAATGAATGAGTATAGAGTGTTTTGGCGTAACTTGAATTCTTGCATGATGGATAACTAAGTTACTTGGTTGAAGCTAACTTTCTAAGTCAAGCAAGTTTTGGGATGCAATGTTCTTAGATATTGGAAGTCAAAGGTGATGACATTTTTTTGAATGCTACGAAGTCTATATTGGGCGATGTGTTCATGGCATATAGACCGATTGCAAGTGTAATCTTTGGAGAGCAATTATGTCATGCGTTTGCAGCTCGGACGACAATTCAGCATCCACATAGAATCTCAAGAGTGCGACTGCCTTGACAAAATGAGAATCCTGTAGGCGAGCAAGATCGAATTTTACTATTGTTTCAACAACAGTTGCGGTCGCACGGAAGACTTTTGTCGGCAACTTCTCATGAGGTGACACTACCTTTGAGCAAGCATGGCATTGTCCACTAGTCCCAAGTTGTCTCAACAGATCATCTGGAGGGTTTGGGTATGTGAGATTCGCCGGCTAAGAATGAGCGCAACCAAGCCATTCAATCCCTCGAAGAAGCCACATTTGACAACATGACATTGAAGATGAATCCCGCAAAAGATAAGTCTGAGAGTATAGAAGTACCCATTATTAATGAAAATATGAGTTCAAGAGTTTAGACGAGTTAAGGTAGAAAAATGGTTTGGTAAATTCTATTGTTTTTTTGTTTGGGATTAGTTGTATATAGATTGGTGAAATGACTTAAAATGACAATTGATTCATTGATGAAGTAAAATGTAATAAAGACACAAATCATATTTGTTTTGGAGTGATCTTGTTGTGGACTTCCAGAATTTTGATGAGAAAAAACATTATCTTCCGTATCATTGTCTTCAACACAAATGTTATTTCATTGTGATGAAAAAGCATAATCTAAAATGAAGTGTTGAGTAACTTACTTATAGATGATTTACAACAATAGATCATGTTACATTCTCAACAATGAGCGTGAAACTTTCTTAAAAACTAGCAAATATTTGATGAAAAGAAATCTAGATCTAGAGAAAGATTTCAATACAAAAAAATAATGCTATGCTTAAAATGTCTCACAAAACAAACAAACCATGTTGCAAACATAATAAACTGCATGTCTTATATAATATTTTGCACATCCTGAAATATATCAAAGATATATTCATTACATGAGTAAAACTTTGATAGTATAGTAGTCTTTCACTTAAGTAAGCTTCCGTTTAAATACACATTTGTTAAAAAAGTTTTAGGGTTCAATATTTTTAAATATTTTATTGTAACATTTCAAATATATCATTGTAACACATTTGTTAAAAAAGTTTTAGGGTTCAATATTTTTAGATATTTTATTGTAACATTTCAAATATATCATTGTAACATATCTTAGATTGTCATCTTACGCATATTTTGATTTTTTGCGTCTGGCTTTGAGTATAAGTGCTTGGACCTTAGCTTTGAATTCTTCAAACGATTTTTGAAAATTTCTAATAAAACATCAAATTTCTTTTGAACATTAGAGCACAACAACTGACACTCAATTTCAAGAATCTGCTTTAACATAAGCTCAAATTTATAAAATTCAACTCTATCATGTGATTCCACAATCTACTCTAGTAAATCAACATCATTGTCTTCGTTAAGAACTTTTTCGTCAATCTTCATCGAATCCAACAAATTTTTGACGTCTTTCAATACTGTTGAGTCATATTCATTGCTTTTGTTATCAATGTGAGCAGATTCGTTCAAATATCAATAAATATAAATTATTGATGGTTTATGAATTTGGAATCAAAGGTTCCAAATTCCATGAATTTGGAACCTTTGATTTTGGTTCCAAATTCATGAACTTTGTGCTACAGAATGCATTCTTTATAGAGTTTGACGAGATAGAATCACAGGCTTCTTTTACATAGCTTGCAGCATCCTGCAATTGCGCTGTATTTCCATAGAAAACTTCTACTACATCTCGTCGCAGTCATTTTTCTAATTCTCTTTTTTGCTGTTTCAACTACTCATCAAACTCGTACAAGTGGAGTATATTTTTGAGAGGTGTAATGACTCCATATCCCAATGTTATTTCCAGCTGGTATAGTTTGGAGAAAAAAATACTACACGTATGTTGTTGCATTTGAAGGTAACAAAGTGACTTAGCGCATTATACATCAGTTTGAAAACGTGATGTATAGTTCGTCTTTTGATTTCGAGAACAAAGACTTTGTTGAACCATCTCCAGTAGGTTTTCATGTCCATTCAAACCTTCATCTAATTGCAAGCTAGTGTCGACAATTGATACACGCTAGATGTTTTGGCTTTTCAATCATTATGCAAAGAATTGTATGTGTCGCAGATGCGTCGGCGCAAACTATCAGAGAAACACGATCTTTCGATATTTTTTTGACTCTGGTGCTTGAAATGTACTAGTTCGACATAAGAATAGAATATCTGAGAAGTAGACAAAAAAAATCAATTCTTATTCATGTTGTAAACATTTTCATGGCTGTATTGATAGATGATGAGCAATAATTTTTCTAAGAATGATAATAATCCTAGATCATTCTTGTCAACTTCATCAACTTTTCAATGAATAAATATTTTCTATACATCTTGGCATGTCTTGAAATGATCAAGACATTTACATAAAATCTTAAATTCTCAATAAAAAATAAATAACATAGAGTCAATAAGTTTTGCTATGACGAGAGATGATACGAGATGACAATACAAGTAACATGTCACAATACATGCTATCAATCTAAATGTACAATATATCTTCAAGTTCAAAAAATTGTCTAACTTCAACTCTAAAAGTATTATGCTTAACTTTATAAGTATATACTAAATATAAGTAATACTGTCCGTCATCTCTCGACGGCAGTAAGTATAAATATGTACTAAAGCAAATCGTTCGAGAATGAAATTTTGTTTCTCCCAAATTTTTTGTAAAACCTCTTCATTAATTTTATACTCACTATATTCATAATCTTATATTAAATTTTGCTTAGAGTGTTTTTTCTCCTCAAGTTTTATGATATCGGAACATTGAGAACAATTCAAAGCTTGGTGGTCAACTTTTTTTACATTGAAGCCATACATAAAATATTTGGAAATGGAGATGTTAAATTAAGGATTCAAGGTGAGTATTTAAGTGGAAGGCTACTATATTTGGAATGTCAAACATCAGTAGAATTTAAGTGGTGTTGTATTTTTAATTATGTTTCAAGAACCATATGTTGACAATAATTAGTCAAATTGATCTTGTATATGTACAGTTATAAATCTCAAAATGAATAATTGTGACATTCATATAACTTGAAATCTTGAATGTTCTTGGAATCTAAACACTCTTCTGAATACTTTTTGAAGAGTGTAGTAAGCTATGTGTTCAAAGCTTTAGATATTGAAATATCTAAAGCCGATTGAAAAAATTCCAACAATATCGATCATTCTTCAAGTGCAGAAACTCTATAGGCTGCTACTCAAGATTCCCATACTCTCCCCGTAAGAAACCTCGCCAACATCGCTATTCTACCTGGACCTGCTCGTTAAACAGACAGCTGCCAGTGCAGGCCATCGAAGCACTTTTGGCCAAGATACGAGGGTACACTGCCCGCGAACCTTTCGATGCATGATCCATGAAACAGCCCTCTGGTATTTTATCACCACCAACTCTCAGTATTTTGCCAACTAGGATAGGAAGTGATCCCAATCCTTGGCCACAATGACACAAAAACTAGCGACAGCCTGAAACGATCATTTAATCTGCTCAATTTGTTGGTCACAGTCAAGACGCTGAATAACGAATCATGGCAGCGCCGAGATGCAAACACTTGTGGAATACTTGACACAAAATTTTGGCAAGTTCCGCGCATGACTACATGGAATAGCAGTTCGAACATGTTCATATTATCTCGGTGGAAAAAGCACAAGCGAGTGGAAGTACCGTAAGAAAAATTGATATTTTTTTTCCACTTTGAATCCTCCTCCTCAAAACTTTCCCCCTTGTACCACCATGACGAAGTCAGCCTAGTACAATAGATAGTGAAGCTCGTCTGGTCGTCCAACGAACGAGGATCTAAACGGCTTGAAACCGCTTCTCGGCAGCACAAAAACAAAGACACTCCTTCTACTTTCAGACGCTGTAATACTCATTAAAGCTCGATACAACTTTCAACATGCTAGAACTGTAGCAACTGGTTTCTCAACACTCAGATTCCCATGTGTGAGCTCTGTCATCTTCTGACCAAATTCTTTCGTACTTCCAAAGTCATCAACCGTACTCGGATCATGATTGTGATCAAGCTATTATAAACAAGGTCAAAACCGTATTAACATCAGCTACAGCATATGGGGAGCACGTAGTTCAAAGTCTCAGTCACGTAACTAACATATAAAATCTAAGTCAAAAGTGGCGTCTGGCATGATGTAAAGGTCGAACAGTACTGAGGTAGTAGTTTGGGCCCTTTATCATGCGCCAGAACACTAAGAATGCCTCGTATATCAACAGTTGTCGTACGCTGTTCCTCAGAGGATGTTAGTGACGAAGTCTCGTCCTGCAAGGGTTCAATCCAGAGAAATCCTGTTTTACTGTACTTAACTCTGTTCTCCATCGTTCTCACGTACTGACGGGGACGGCAATCATGTGATATATAAAAGTGATGCTAAGCCGTGGAAAGCGAGCGGCCCGTGAGAACTGATAGATTTATCTGCAATGCAAGCCCGTGGGCTGGACTAGGCTCGAGCCCTCTTTTCCTCAACCAACCATCTGGCGAAGCTGCAGACAACACAAAGACATTTCATCACAATAAGAAAGTAAAAGCTGCGTGGAGTAGAACTAATGTAAATTGTCATATATAAGCCATATTGTCATACAATATTTGCTTGTAGTGTATATAAGGCAGGTCAATCGGTTCTGGAAATATGTAGAAGTCTCGGTGAATTCAAAAGATCATTTAAACGAGAGACTGCAAGTTAAAATGAGCTAGCAGGGCGGTTAAGGACAGTCACCTTTCCAGGGCTTCTTTATTTGTTTCAAAATCAGGTACTTCCTCCAAGGCTCCGGTGATGGCGTTCCGGAACTTGGGCTTTTTCGCAAGCAAGCTGTTGCCCAGTTCGACAAGCTTTTTCATGTTCTCCGGCTTTACATTATCCATAGCCACTGTATTCTCATCGATTTCACCCGACTGTAAATCACGAAATAGCGTTATTGATCTCCAGTTTAGTATCCCATGGTCGGACGAGCTGGTCCTAGGCCAATTGACAGCTAGACCGTGCTCATGAATCCATATAGGAGATGTGACAAGCAGTAAGGAAAGGTCACGCTACTTTATGCAATGACCTCAGAATAATGCATGCGACGCTACAAGCCAACGACCTTATGCAGCAGCAGCGGCACCGATAGAGATCTGCTAGACGAGCAGCCAGACACTCACCTCCAGCCTCAAGTAATTCTCCTTGACTCCGTCGATCTGGAAGCGTATGGAGATATCGTAGTCAACCAGGTAGGCACTGCTGTTCATGAGCATTTGGACGATGGGCTGCCCAGGTTTGCTAACCCAGTCCAAATCTGACCATACGTTGATGTCACTCGCTTTGTACGTCACTGTCCTGGCCCCGGTGCCCAGAGACAAGACCAGTAGATCTTGGTAACCCTGTCATGACCAGAACAGAATAGGAGAGGAGCAGAGCTGTTTTTCAGTGCTTGCGCGACAGACACGGTCGGAAATTTAGATCAAACGTCTGGACTGCACGATTTTTCAACTTGGAAGAGCTACTTTTGCGTCAACAGAAAGTTGTCTCCGATGCTTGGATGCAAAACCAAGACAGCATTTCAGCAGAACAGGAGGATTTCTGCACAAATCTCTGCACAAATTTACCTTGAAGTTGGGCATTCGTTCTTTGTGGGGTGAATCTCCAAGACGGAGGTCCTTGATTGCGTGCAGAATGGCAACATCCGTCTGTGAAGAGCAAATATTGATGGAAATGAGTAATCTGATATAAGTCACATCACCAGCATTGACCAACGAAAGCTTCTTCAGACGAACAATCACCCTCCTCCTCTTTCAACGGCAAACTTCTACAGCTGCGTCTCGACCAGTTTCTAACAAAGTGGCCATCGCTACCAGGGTTGATGAGTCCGCCACTTACAGGGTTGTTTGCAACCACTCCTCCGTCGACCAGGTGGTACTCAGCTACGTCCGTGCCCGAGTGAGAGATTTTGTCCTCTGGGTAAGGTACCTTGAAATTATGGGCAGGAAAATAGGTAGGCGCTGCTGCCGTCGCCAAACAAGCGTCTCGCAATTTTGCGTTTGCTTTAAAATTTCTCGTCGCCTGATGCAACACATCACAGAGCCTCAAATTATACTTGCCGGACATGGAGCTGAGGCTGCTCAAGTCTGCTGACGAAGCACGAATGCTGAATCCTGGGATTGAAAACGAATGTGAATGCTTGATCAAATCATTCAGTGAGAAATTGGAGGGACATGAGAAGCTAACTGACCGCTTGTTTGTCAAAGAATACAGGTTGTTGAGTGTAAGCGTCAAACGTGGTGAGCAGAACATCGGTTACCGCATCCTTTATTCTCAAATCCTTAAATTCTTCCTCCAGCATTTTCTTCAAGTTATCTGCTTTGTATTTAGGTGAACGACGGAGAAGAGACCCCAACATATCTGGCAAGAAGCTAAGTCCGTTTCTGCAACCATCATCCACCCACCCATCCAAGAGATTATCATCATTCCATCAATTTTCTTGTCGTCAAGAACTTTTGAATCACTTTGTAAGTGAAGCGAATGAGTTATAAAGGAAAGAATTATGTTTACAAACAAGTGGACACATTGACTCGCCTCGGTCCTTACCGCAAGCCAAAGATATCCTTCGACCTGTCGAGATAGAACTGCTTCACTTGCGTCGTCGTCATCATCGGACGCTTGTTCTCATTCGGGGCTGTCAGCATGGACGCTATGAGACCTCCGGTACTGGTCCCCGCAACGATATCGAAGTAATCTGCAACCCTTGCTTCGGGTCCATCAAGTTCCTGTGCACATGAATTGCGTCAGTCCGGCTCTCCATGATCCCCTTCTGCAACCATTTGCTCGACTCGGCAAAGGAGAGAAGTCGAGGTACATTTCATCAGTCAGTTGAACAATGCATAGAAACTGTTTCTTTGAGTAGAGTTGCCTCGCAACTAGCTGTGACTGCAAACATGAACCACTATAACAGCTACACCACCTGTAGTTGCTTCTCCAAATACTCGAGGCAGACTGCTGGGATGACTCCACGCACTCCACCTCCATCGACGCTCAGAATTGTGAGCCTCTTGCCCGGGACTCCTTGGCAGCTGGGCCCCTCACTGAGGAGCTTCACTTGCTCAGACATTGTCTTGGAAAACCAGACAGTTACAGTAGAAAAAGATTCCCTTCTCTACTGCCGGGGCTACTGCCACTTCTCGCTGGGGAAAATTCGCTGTCTGTGACCTTCTTTCTGAATGTTCTTGTCCTGATCGAATGGAGTTCTTCGGAGCTGATGGCCTCCCCTCTGCCTGTACAACAAAGTAGTGAGTAGAGCATTGTTATATATTTTTCTTGCGACGAGTCATAATCATCACATCTATAGCCTTTCAGTTTATCACTCATGAAGCAGCAAACATCCGCAGATAATGATGACATTCTAATTCCAGAAAACCCCTCCACTCTGAGCCTCGGCCTGGGTCTTAAAAACATGGGCAAGCTTCATGCTTGGGTATGTCGTGTGATTTTGTCCATATTCCAAACATACAAGAGACAATACTATCCTCGCAGAAGGACCCTGACGGAAGCAGCAAGCGTGGTCAGCAGTCAAGAATTGTGTGGCTCCTACAGCTGACGTCAGGATGATACTGACTATTTCTATCCAAGGAGTCTCATAGCGGTCCTCTATGGACTAGTTTGAGACGCAACTACATTTGGTTTCGAGGAATTTGATAAGCTCTCCAAGCGCTTTAAAATACTGTAAAACTACGAGTAGAATGGAGAGGTTTGATCACATTCCTTGATGCAAGACCTCATCCAAACAACATAAACTTCGTAGGTGTGGAGTTTTGCGAAGCTGAAGGGCATGGATTTCCAAAATTGAAACAAGAGAGACAGAATTACCTCACTCGATCAAAGAAAGCAGTTCTCAATGAGCAGCTGATGTCTAAGACTACTACCAGAGTTGGACACTGGGGAGTCAGTCGACTCTTCACGTTCAATATGGCACAGCAGGAGCGTTTATGTACTCCACAGAGCTACTGATTAGCCATGCACTCGCTCGGTTGAAGTCAGACCCGTCGTCGTGCGTCCGTGGGCTATGAGATAGACGGCTTTCGCCATTTTTCCCTCGAGGTGGAAGCCGTGAGTCGACCTTCGGTACACGTGACGTTTGGGCAGACCCTCCAGTCAGATCACTGAGCTTCATATCCTCGTACCTTCCGAATGGCATGTAATATCCCAACGTGGCCGGCGCCGGCTCATCACGTGCGTCCGAGCCTACAACATTCAAACGTGATGAAAGGAATTCTGTTTTCCTTGATCGCTCACACAATAATTCTCTGATCCGATTGCGTTTGCCTTTATTTCATCGTACTCAAGCAGGAAGTAGGAGAACTTTCTCTACTACTGTGGGTGAATGGAGAAAGTGAGAGAGACAGTTTCGAATTCCGCCGCCAGGACGAATCACAACTGGACCTATTAGCTCACGGGAATGTGAAGCATGGGGACCACCCACTCCATCGATCACATCTACACGGAGACAAAAAGGCAAGACCATACCGTCGAACTTATCTGCGTGCTCGACGACCTCGTCAACCAGGAGATTCCTGATTCTGATCGTGTAGCCATAGCTTATATTATATAGTATAAGCTACAGATATTCGCAGCTGAAGTTGGAGAGAGAGAGAGAGAACGGTATCCTACCTTGATAGACGCTACGCCATAGAGCTGGGCCATGTCTGCTGTGCCTGGCAACTGGAGAGACGAAAAAAGTCACCTGATGCGACGTCCGGATGCTTTCTCCTCGTGCTTGCTCGAGTCTACCTGGGTGAATTGGTGCTACACCTGGATCGTCCACCGATGCATGCATCTGAAGTAGTGACTCGTGGACAGTGGTAGAAACAATCATCTTTATATATTGATCATACTGAGCTCTACATTTCAGACATTTGAGCTTACTTGGAGCAATTTCATATTTCCGGCTCTTCTTCCTTCTTGGTGTGTTCTCCCGAGTGTTTCTACACACGAAAGAACGTAAGCGTTCAGAGATCCACTGACAAATCCGTGGACCTAGCTCTTAACCCTCTCTCTCATCGTCGTCTTAGTTGTGTTCGCTCCCATCACTTCGCGTCGAGGTCGGCAATTCATTCCATCGCACGCATTCATGATGTCGAGTTCAGAGTTCGAGATGCCAAGCCACACACACAAAAGGATCGGCAGGATGCTCAGAGTGCGCGCTGAGATACCTGAAAGCCACGGACACTTTGACTTCGGTCGTCCGAGTGATGGATGCTGCTGCTTTGCAGCAGCATACAGAGAGATCGGAGGAGGGAGTCCTTGACTGGATTGAATGCCACCGCTGCCGCCAAATTACAAGCCGCCGTCATAGCTGCGCTTGTACCCGAGCTACTTCACTTCCAAGGTAGGTACTTCTGTGGAGATGAATATATTTTATTGATCCTCTCGTTCTGTGCCAAGCAAACTGGATCCGCTGGTGATTCGGTGCTCGGCCCCATGGTCGCGGTGTTCCAGGTTGGCAGTGCGGTTAAACATTGTTGCGCTCTGCTCGCAGGGCCATTAATGTCCCTCACTCTTACGTACCGTGCGCCAATCTCTATTTCCCGATTGTGCGGATCGAGAATCTGCTTCTCCTCACGTAGAGAATCTCGCTCCTCTCGCAGCGCCCGGCTTCTGGCGAGGAGATGTTCGTGGTGCGCATGTCTGTCAGTTGTACCTCGTCCCTTCCCTGGACCTCATTCTCTCCTCCCATGTAATGTCTGTGGGCTATGGAGTCTCTTCTGATACACAAGGAGACACAATCTAGCGTCAAATCAACAGATGCTTCTTGGATTGTATTTTATTATAACCTGAACGCAACTGAACGACTAAGCACTTCACGCATTTATTCGAGGACAGCAGACGCCAAGGGCTTCAGAAGAGCTCTTGCGACTTTATCTCGTGCGAAAATGGTCATCTAATGCCAGTAGAATTGTATTGGATTAGCTTTGGCTGTGTGTGTCTGGTTTCCATGTGCTGAATGGACTGGCAAATGGATTAATTAAATTTCACGTCTCGCATGCAGGCACATATGCCTGCTGCCATAATTCAGTATGTAGAAGAATGAAACGTGGTGTGAAAACCGAAGACTACCCTGCTTGCAGTAGTGATCATGGCGGCAGAATGATGAGCCCGGGACCATGTATGACTACGTTTTAAGAACTGGATACTCATACTTGTCACCATTATTATTTCACCTGACTTTAATGATACCATTGCTTGCTTCCAAAATTACATCTTTCCATACCTATTTCCAACTCACCATTGTTTACCTACTGTTCACTTACTCAAATACTGATCTCTTCTATTAATTTACAATTTCATGCCTCGGGAACTTTGTGTTTGGAAAAAGTAACATTCTCATCTCTTATACTCTTCCCTTCCATATTCTCACGATTTTAGTGAGTATCAACAAGCTTTAGTATGAATTGTGAGTCAATATATTTATATCTTCAAGCACATCATCATGGCAAACACCAACAATTGATGTTTAGTACAATAACATTTTGCATACGATTACTATTGCAAGCGTTTAATCAAAACTGTTATTACATAAATTACATTAGTGAGAGTCTACATACTGATCATACACATGAAATTAACCAATAAACTTTAAATGGGATAATTGAATATTGAATAACTATCTCTCTCACTAATATCTAATTATGATTGAACAAGCTATAACCTACAGGTCAATCATAAATCAAATATCATATTTTATATATAATAAATGTCTCTTAATTGAATTAATTACTGGTGTTGATTTTTGGGAAATATGTAGATCAATATTATGAAAAATACTTGGAAACACTGACTAAAGCTAATTACAGTTAAAAAATCTTAATTTTAAAGAACTCAAATTAATTTTTACTCTTATATATATATTCATTTAATATGAAATATATTATTTTTCTTAATTAAATAATAAATAATCATCATCATCTCATATTAATTTAAAAAATAAATATTAACTAGATCATCTACTCGAATGTTACAGAATTTGTAAGTCAATAAAACCATATAGATACAGATATTCATTTTTTTCAAAAAAATTTAATGCTATCATTAGTATCCATTTAAATTATCTATTTGATATGATTCAGAACTAAATTTTTTTATGAATAATTTTATAGTCTAGGATGCATTACAATAGTGTATTAAAAAAATTGCAAACTTTGAAGATATTTTTATGCGATCTATTAAGAAATATTTATTCATCAAATGAAGATTGCATCATTTTTGTTTACTCATGAACTAACAAATGACAACTCTTTAAAAAATCTTGTTTTTTTTATTTTTCAAATGAATGAAAAAATTCGGTAACTTTGGAAAAAAAAATGTTGATCAAGGTTGGCTCATCCACGCATTTGTTAATTTATGTGGCAAACGTTGTAAAACGTTAGATTCAATAAGAGGATATAGCTTTAGAATCTATTGAATGTGTGGAGATAAAAGCGTAATTATTGAATGAGCTTACTTACAACTAAAGAATTCAGTAGATTTTTAGTACTTACTAAGTGATGAGGGATCATATTTCTATGTTGCAACTTGTAATTTGATCTCATTAGGAGTTTAATTTTACAAAAAATAATTTAGCATAAAATTTTTTGAATTTTTTTTGTGAAATAGAGCCGTTTTAAAGTCTACTCAAATATAAGACTTTAAGTTACATTATTTTCCAAATATGAGTACACAATATGGATTCCAGCATTTTATGATATTTTAAGATTCAGAGTCATGAAGGATAGATTCTTTTTCGTGTCATATCATAGCAGTATTTAAAAAAACAAACCTAGACACTACTAGCAAATTTGAAAAATATATGCACAAGAAAGATCTTATGAAAACTCATGACTTAAAAAAATTAAAAATCATTTATAAGAGAGAGGGGGTAGTATATCTCCTAAGACTGGAACTGGACTTTTTCTTGACTTCGTTGGTGTTTACTTTGCAGCCGTTATATCTTCCACCGCATTTTTATTCCATGCGTCTTAGTTTTGTCACAGGGAATGAACTATGGTGTGACCACCTTGAAGAAAAATGGGAGTGCCGATAAGCACAATCATATGGAGAGTCATAATGCTCTTCGTATGGTAGCGACGGTGCATAGAAAGAACCGAGATGGAAATGTACAATTGTTTTCACAAGGTCTGACTTTACAAGGTCCCACAAGCAAACCGTCGCGTACGAACGTCGACGGACAACGAACGGGGACGCAGAGAGTCAGGATTCATCAGTCAGTCGCAATTTCTCTTACACGCAGTCGTTACTTTGTACGCCTGCAAGTGCATTTGTATCCCTGACTGCGAGGCCATCATTTGCATGGTGACAAGAAATGTTGCGGATGGAAGTTCCGGCAACGAGTGAGTCGCGGCACCAACGGTGCCATTCATTTGTCAGTACTCTGGCGCTCGTACGTGGTCTTGACAAAGTGTCCCGCTGCTGACTTCGGGTCGACCACGGGTGCCGCGGCCGCGGCTCAATGCAGCGACCGGAACCGGGTCGCAGACTGAGGGTGCGACGCTATGAAGGTACAGTACTTCTGTAACGACTTGAAGTCAACCTCGCAGTCGAATTTGCGAGGTACAGTACTGTACTGGAGGACCCGGCCTGGAGAAAGGAGCTCGAGTCGCTCCTCATTTCCGTTCCGAGGGGCCGGCCAGCTCTGTCTGCTCGCATGTGCGCGTTTGGGGGACGTCGCCCGACGCGCCGTAGCGAGTAACGGAGGACGTTCGATGCGAGACGTGAACGACTCAAAGAAGAACCACTCAAACCACGTCGTCCAGCAACTCTGTACTGAATAGGAAGACGACAAACAAATAAGGGTCGCAGTTGGCACTTTCTAGGAACGCGCGCATGTCCATACCGAGAGGATGAAACTAAATGTATTATTAGTTTGAGGATCAATAGAGAACTTTCAGGCCTATTTTGATTATATTATACAGATTTTTATCTCAAAATTTGATGTAGTTACATCAAATTTTGAGTACGAAAACTAAGATGTACTGAAAATATGTAAATGTATGCAAATGAGTTGCAATAAAAAATGGCATCATTTTTTATTTTTCAAATAGTATTGCATATAGTGTCTAGATAATGCCACAAGATTTGACAAAAAAAACCAATATAATGTGAGATGATATTGTAGGTTCTTTAGCACTTTCTCTCGAATGTATCAAAATAACAATTCATAGTTTCAAACAAGATTTTATATAATCTCATACATGTTTACTTGGAGATCTTGTCCATTGCTTAGTTCATTAGCCGTCTATTCAATATTATGAACGAATCAATAAATCTTGATCACAGATTTTTTTTTTAATATTAAGAAAATATATTTGTACATATTTTTAATTCTATTTACAAATACATTCGTTATCATAATTACACTTCAATGCTGTATTTTTAATACAAGTTCAGTGATACACTGATTATAGAAAATTGCAAAGCATACCAACACTCAATTCACTGTGATGTGTACATCCATAACAAAAAATATATATCTAGAAACATAATGTACATCAAACATGCACTAAGTCAATATTTTGCTTGACACATCTAAAAATTAGTGTATACTTACATGTAAATAATAAAGATGAATATTGGCATATAAAGCTAGGTTCAAGTCACATCGATGAGAAAAAGCCCGTATTACCTGCCTACCTGAAAGGACCTAGCAATAGGAAAGCGCTTGATAACAAGCAGCAGGGAAGGATTCTTGGTGCAATTTTAAAGTCATAGTGTATTGTTGAGCCAAATACCATGAGTTTACGCAACAAGAACAAAGACATTCTTTATGATATAAAGAATTCCTGAATCTATCAAAAGAGTATAAAGCATGTTGAGAATAAAGCATGTTGCAAATAGTTTCATGACGATGTACAGCGATAAAAATCTTTAGTCAAAGATGAATAACTACAAGAATTTATGTCGTGGCTTGAAGAATAAAGCACCTCTCATGTGAGTCAAATATCTATTTATAGTATGATATCTCATCATAGTATTTTTGCAATCACCCACCAATATTTCAAGACAAATGGAATCATAATTGCACAAGAAGAACAATTGTGTCACATGATACTCTATTACCAATCTAATGCTACATGCAACGCCATAACTATTAAGCATCCCAAGTATTATGATAAAATTTACTTCTATTAATGCATAATCTGGAAAATTATATATCTACATTTTAATCTGATTACTTCTTATTTAGATCAAATTTTTTCATACTCAAGACTATTATAATACCATTCAAAGCTCTTGGAGATAAATAAATAAACAAATACATATGAATATGATTTTTTACAATTTTTATACTCAAGAAGGATAATAAAAGCTAAAGTTATATGTATAGTAAAAATCTGTAAAACTGACGCCAATGTGACTTCATTTGACAGTTGAATTTCTAAAATTAATATTACTTTTTATAATAAGATTAAAATGCAGAAGAATTTGTGTCAATCTCTAGTCGAAAATTGGAAACTTTGAAAAGAATTATTCTAATGAGAAAGGAAGATAACATCACACAAGTACCACCTAGGATGATGAAACTATTATGGTTATATATACATAATAAGTAACATATTTCAAATATTTTAGGATAAGATTGATTTTGGTAAATTGTATCACAAATGCTTTATTTATTCAAGAAAGCATCCATGCTTATTATATAAATCATTATTCATCACGTTAAAGTATTCGAGACGAATAGTGAATATCAGCTAATGGAGACAAAACGCAACAAAATAACTGGTTATCAACTCATATGAAAGTTAGTCTGAAATTCGAGAAATGGACGTGAAAGGGACGGCAGAATCAGCTTTTAGAGCCAGCCAAACGTTCGCATTGAGCTCTTGCCGTACAGGCCATGTCCTCGCTTTTTAGCTGGACAATGGCTGCAAGGCTTGTACAAATCGACTTGTTCTTGCGTTTCACGACAACTGTGTTCACGCATGCGACTTACGTGCACTGTACTTTTTTGGTAATGTTCGAACAAAATTACTACATTTTGGTTGATGGGCAGGAAAACGAAATACACCAGGACAAGGACACCATCTCCATTTGTTTTTCAGATCCATTTCGGTATACAAGTGCCATTGGGAGAATGTACTTCAAAGCAATTCTAGAAATGAACTAGAGGGTAGTGCCAAATGATGGAGCAAAAATCAATTATATTTCCCCTCAAACCTTCCATAAAATGAAAGCAAAACATGGGGCTAACTCCTGTAACGATAGTGGTAATTATATTTTCACCTGCTCCTCAAGCATCTGAACTATCTGTGATCTGCTTACGCCAAGTTTTCATTACACACGTTCACTCGCCTACTTATATAAAAAGCACGTTGACATTGATACAATCTTATGAAGCTGAACTGCGAGTTGCATTAACAGGGCCTTCTATCCACAATATAATCTGGTCTTGCGCTTACTATGAAGGCTGCATTGGACCACGTGTGACTATGAGATGTACAAAGCTACAAATGTAAGCTGGAATGAACCAGCCAGAAGTATTTCTCATGAATTCCAATCCTCTCTTTAGAAGGTAAACAAACGCTGAGGTGCATGTCGTCACGATTAAGTGGTCTCAGAGTCGACCGGCTGCTAAATGAAACTGTATGCAGTAAAGGTGGTCGTAAGGAGCAGATGTACAAATCAAATTGCAGTTTCGTGGAGTTGTGCTGGCCGAGCCCTGCTGTGATTCTTCCCTCTTAAATTGGTGTAAGTACGACGGATCCAGGTCTACTACAGGCCTGGGTTGTGGGTCAGGTGTTGTAACGTCAGCCATAGTATTCGAGCGTGCAATCCGAGACACAGAATCTCTTCCATCTCGCAGTTCATCAACGAGCTGAAGCTGCAAGGAAGATGTAGAAAGATGTGCCATTGGAGAATTTATCGATTTTTCACACAGTTCGTATCACACAAAAGTTGTGGCAATGCTCGGTAGAGGAGTGGCGTTATCTCGGGGCAATTGTGCAGCTTCTTCCACTGACGCTGGGAGCTCTGCCCGGGCTTTCTTCTCCTCTGACAACCATTTGGCGAACCTGGCAAAAGCAGACTGAAAGGTCAGAAGCAAATAAGCATCACGAAAATCCTACGGCTGACTTTGACCTCACCCGTAGGATTCGAGAGTGCAATTACGAGTGAAAATGAGATGTCCTTTCGTCCCGGTGCGCGCAGTGAGGATGGAAAATTTGAGAGGTGCAGCTGAGGTAAGTGATGAGGACGAGACGAGACACAAAAGCCATGGAAGGGTTCAGAAATCCTCACGTCGTTAGAGCATCTCGATTGCTTCCCAAGTATGTCTTGTCCACCAATTCTCCGTTGATGGCGTTTCGGTACTTCGCTTTTTCGTCGAGCAATTTGTTCGACAGGTCGACTAGATTCTGCATATTCTTCTTCGACGATCCATCAACAGACGCCATGTCCCCGACGATGCCGGATGTCTGCAGAACACGAACATGCAAACAGAAATTGTCCAGGTTCATGGAGACCAGCGGAGTGTGGAAGACATGCGACATTTGCATGCCTCCAGAGAATAGACAGCTGGACAGCTGGAGCTTACAAGTCACATCGAGAACGCCATATCCGGATGCGATCCGAACTTCGGTAGTCGAAGCGACAGTGGTTATAATAGAGAATCTCTCGTTGGCAACGCCATGTCCATTGATTAATTGATTAATAGAGAGAGTCAGTTGCTCCTCTGACTGAGATCTGAACAATGCAGGGGAAGCGGGAGGGGAAGGTCTCACCTGCAGTCTCAAGTAATTCTCTTCGACCTCATCGATCTGGAACCGGATGGCGATGTCGAAGTCAACCAGATAAGCACTGCTGTTCTGGAGCATTTGGATAATGGGCTGCTGTCCATCGTTCAAGATCCAAGACAGCGATCCCCAAGAGGCTACTTCCTTGGCGTCGTAGCTGACAATACTGGAGCCCGTGCCGAGGGACAGGACCAGCAGATCCCTGTAGCCCTGACACCAGAAACAGGAATATCTCAACAGCTGCTCGTCAACAGGGTGCGCAAGAGACATTGTCGGACCATGTGCCAAAGGACTACTCCTTCACTGCACAGAGATTCATTCTAACCTCAAACAAACAGCAGATCTACGTCATGGGCAAAACGTGCTCGTGTTGATTGAGATACCCGGATTCCAGTTCCGATGAGCATCGTGGTTGGATTCAGATGGCCGAAAGCGGGGCAAGAGGAGGGAAGGGCCCTCTTTGTTGCGAATCGCTCACCTTGAACTCGGGAATTCGGCCTCTGTGTGGCGAATCGCCGATGCAGAGATCTTTCACGGCGTGAAGTATGGCGACCTCCGCCTGCGCAGGGAAGTTAGAAATAAGTGTGATGGAACCTGATGCGAGGGTTGTTATCATCATCATCATCCTCCTCCTCATCATAAGCAACAGCAACAAATGGAAACTGATTCAGATGCAACGACTTCCCCATGGGATTATACAATCAACAACCTTCTCCTCTCCGACTGTGGAAGAATATCCTGAAAACAATGGTGTGAGGTCGAGGGAGCATGGGGCCGTTCTAACAAAACTGGTCAGAGCTGACTGGAATAATAACTTACAGGGTTGTTTGCGGTTACTCCTCCGTCAATCAGGTTGTACTGGTGAGTCTTCCCCTCTCCCTGGTCTGGATCAGGTACGTCGAATTGATGGGCCGGGAAGAACGTGGGTGCGGCCGTCGTCGCCAAGCACAGGTCTTGCAGTGTTGCGTTGAACCTGGGGACTCTCTGTGCCTGTTGCAATTAATGACCACAAAGTCCCATCCCCTAAGTACTCGCTCGCTTATGCTGCAGCTGACGAACGACCTCTGCCAAATATCTCTGAACAAAATCAATTTCATATGAGAGAGAGAGAGAGAGAGAGAGAGAGAGAGAGAGAGAGAGAGAGAGAGAGAGAGAGAGAGAGAGAGAGAGAGAGAGAGAGAGAGAGAGAGAGAGAGAGAGATGGACTGACTGACCACTTGCTTGTCGAAGAACACAGGTTGCTGAGTTTTGGTGTCGAACGTGGTGATCAACAAGTCCGTGACAGAGTCAGTTACTTTCAGGTCTTTCAAAGTGTCGGCCAAAATTTTCTTCATTGGGCTGGCGCTGTATTTTGGCCCGAGCAGGCTGGTCACGCTCGAGAAAATTCCTCTGCATCCCAAGGGAAAATTCTTTATAATATTCATGCTTCTGTAACAACGAGCATTCTCATCGATAGCTAGCTTTGTGAGATCAACGAGCAAGCTCTAGACGGATGAAAGAGGGATAATTCAATCGAGAGAAGACCGGGGAGGTCCTCGAGTGTCAGATTCTCTCACGGTTTGGGAAATATCGTGGCCGCTTTGTCGAGATAGAATTGCTTGGCTTGAGTTGCTGTCAGCAAAGGGCGCTTGTTCACGTCAGGCGCTGTGAGCATGGTTGCGATGAGACCTCCGGTGCTAGTTCCCGCAACGACATCGAAGTAATCTGCGATCCTCGCGTCAGCTCCATCGAAGGCCTGCCAACAGTGTTTGTTATCTGACAGTCAGTCTCCGGCTCCATGCGCCGGGCAGCTGGTGTTCTGCAACACACTAACTTCATTGTTCCCTCAACAGCATTCTCCTCGTGACATTCTCGGCCTACAGGATCGTATTGGCCTGCAAGCGTTGATATGCAAGGATCCAAGATACCTGTGGGTGACAGAAGAACAATCGTTCGCTCAGTTAATCTACTGTACGGTACCTGAAGCTGCTGCTCGAGAAACTCGAGGCACACTGCCGGGATAAGTCCTCTCACACCACCTCCATCGAGGCTCAGAATCGTGAGCCTCCTGCCAGGGGTTCCATGACAATGAGGCTCCTGACCATCAGCTGCCAGCGTCCCGGACGTGCAAGTTTCCGGCGCTGCTCTTGGTGCTGCTGTTGCTGAAGCGGGAGATTCTTCTGCAACCGATTCATTGTGCGCAGCTGCTGCGGGAATGCTACCGCTTGCTGGCACCAGACCATTCTCAGCAGACTTGTTTCTGGATCTCCACCTCTTGATTAACGATGGCACTTTCGAGACTGACGGTTTTTTCTCGCCCTGGACAGCATCAAACATTTCCAACACCAAAATTGTCGTTCAGTCTCGTGTCAACGGAACGTCACAACGAGATCGAGGAAAGGTCAGCATTTGGTTACAACTCAGGCAGGAGTAACAGACTGATGCATGTTCCATCACAGTGGCCAAAGGCGAATCGAACATCCACCGGCATTGCAGATTCTTGCATTCCCGCGAACCTGTCTCCTCCAGACAAATTAATTAAGGTCCTCGAATGAAAATTCCGAAGGGTTAGAAGCACAGGACGAGACACGATTCGAACCAAATTCCAGAAATTTGCTCACTGCCGCCACGAGCACTGCGGAATTCTTTCTACGACATCTCCTGTAGCCGTCAGTGTTCAGCAGCCTTGGACGAAATTTATCTAGAGGATGCCTCCATGACGCAGTAATTGCGTGAATGAACTGCTGTTGCAACCGTAATGCTACGCGGAGGATGGTGAGAAGGGAACAAACGGCAAGAGAGAAAGAAGCACCCAGGGCACGGCAGCGAGTGCCATGCAGCTCAGCAGATGTGCATGTGGGCGTGAGATAAACGAGGTGTAAGACAAAATGTAGACTTCTTAGGCAGGCGAGCACATGTCCATCATCTGGAAGGCTCGGAGTTTACAGAATCCTCAGCGCCAAACAGATCATCATGCACAATGCATTGACTTCACCACACGACGACACTGCACATAAAGTTCCTCCCAAGGACGACGTCCGAGCAGAAGAAAGCTAACTTGGGCCTCGATGGTACCGAGCAACTGATTAAGAACATTCATGCTAGACTCATGACATGCAAATCCTCACACGTGCCCCTCTCCACTCTCCCCTTCAAGTGTTAAACCGGAGCTTGGCCAGCATTGCACATGCTTCTGAATGTCGGTGGAGTGGACACGCCAGTACTGATTTATCGTACACACTCGGAACTCGGAGAGCGAGTATGCTCCGAAGAGTACAGACATAGAATGAGGGAAACTATAATACAGTGAGTGAAGTCCACAAGGACGGGAAAATATGGACCTTTAGAATGGTTGGCAGTTGATAGCTTATACCCACCCACTGTCAAACATCGCATCGAAACACAACTGCAATGTCTTGTCTCCTGTTTACTGATATGTTGTTTGAGTATCGAGGAGTGTGCCCTGTGCACAATGACCAATGAGACACATGAACTGCAGCTCCAGTGGTCGAGAGAGGGAGAGAATTGTCACCTGGACAGACGCTCCTCCATTCGGATCGCCCATGTCAGTTTCCACAGAGACAGAGACACAGAGAGGGAGAGAGGCGACTGCGCTCCTCGAGAAAGTGTTCCGAGTCCAATTGATCTTGGATTAGTTTACGTGGTGATGATCACCTGCAGCATCTATTTAGTCTCCTCTCTTCTCATCGGAGGCCAAACACGAATGATTTAATACTTGCACGGCCCCGAATCCAGCAGCCCAGTACGAGGCTACGGATCCGCCTTCGCCCACTGTTCAATTTACTAGTCAAGCGAGCATGGGCTTGAGGCGACTAAACAGTAAAAGAGATTTGTACGAAGTGCATCGGCTTCAAGCCATGCTGGGCTTGCTTGCTCCATGAAAATTGCTCATCACCGGGTCGAAAAAGATGTCATGCCGTGTTCTAGTCGCGTACGAAGGCTAAACAATGATTACATGCTGAACGATGATCCAACTGTCGCGAATTCGAAAACGAAGTAGGTGTGATGAAATCCAAGCGAATGAATGTGCTTTACTTCTCCAGGCCAATTTCGGCGAAAGAAGTGGGGCTTCACAGACTTGAACACCTTTGAAGAAAGTCAGTCAGGACGGAGCGAGTGGGAAAGACGCGTGGACGGTCCACGGAGCTGACAAAACATGCAGCTCTGGTTTATCTACGTTCGGATTTTGTCTTTTCTCCTCGAAGTAATGATCGCTCCATTGTGTTTAAAAGATCCAAGCTTTATTAAGTCCGAGGTGTAACGGACGCACTCCAAGCTGCCATTATTGGTTCATTTTATCAATCTGTCAATCATATGCGTGATATAGACACGGACGTGTGCCTAATATCGATGGGCCTTAAAAATTTGCCTTGGATACCAGTGGATGGATGGATTGCTGTGCACTTAAGCTTGGATAGAGTAGAGGCCACGGATGGTGGATGACTCTCTGAAATCTGCTCGACTGTTTTATGAGCGGGTCGAGTTCAGAAGAAAGGTGACCAGCAAAGACCTGATCTTGTTGAAGACATGGTCTCTGGTTCCAGATAGAAGTGTCTTCAGAGAATATTTCACAAATCGAGCGGTATATCACGAGGACCACTATTGAAGCATATACGAAGGAGAAGTGCCTGAAGACAAGGCCTTCAGTATGACACTCTGGCCAATGCTTTTCAATGCTGTTATCAATTGAAAAGCATTGGCCAGATTCGCAACGCTGATTGAAACTGAATCTGGACATCAGAGGAGTTGTGAGGCCAGCTCTACGACATCTTTCATGCCTCGAATTCTAGATTCTGCTTACGCTGCTGCTATTGGCTTGCTTTTGATGAGTGAGGAATGGCCTACATTACAGTACTCAGGAAGCCATGACCTGATTTAGACCCATTCAGAAGTGAGTACACTCAAGGCCTTCATGAAGGTTTGAAGTGAGTACACACAAACTACCGACGTCACTGCCGTAACGGAGACGAGATGGTCAGCTGACTAGCTCTTGTTTCTCTCGAGCCGATTCCCGTTGGAAAATTGGGCTTGAGTGTTCGACTCGCAAACTGACAGACTGCTGCAGTGACAAACTCTGTCCTCTACCTCCCTCCAGTTTTGACGAGAGACAAATTCAGAATCCAAACCTTGGCCCCCAGCGATGGGCATTTTCAGTGCGGCTGCCCCGAGCCGGCGTGACTATAGTCCAAGCCTCGGATTCTCGGAGTAGTTCAACAGGTTTGCAGCTTTATAAGGTTCATCCGTTGGAGAACCCCGATCACGACAAGCGGATGTGCTATGAGAGGACGAGAGTGGAGGCCAGATTCTGGGACCCACATATATCTTGCTGGTCGAATTTTGCTGCAGCAGCCCTGCCGGCAGCAAAAAGCTTCTCTACCATTAAAGTGCCTCGGGCTGGCTGTCGGGGATGTGAGAGCTCGGGCTCATGAAAATCCAGAGTGCACGTAATGCGGAAGAAATCGTCCAGGTGGAAGGCACGGGCCATTGCTTTTCCTTCCACCGAGGCTTCCACCCGCGTTCACTTCACGAAACCTCCCTCGATGACTGCGACTGCACTCCGCCTGTGCCTGGCCAACCAACATCGCCGATATATGACCTCTCGAGGAATTCAGCGACGCATCTGACCTCCATACCAGTTGTCAGAGTAGTAGAAGCCTACAAGAGAGAGAGAGCGCGACTGCACACTCCACTGTCTGAAGCTTATCTGGAGACTCTGAGGTAAAAACTGGGCACGACTGATTCACGGGAATTACAGTGTCCTAGAAATATCAGTGTCAAGGAATCTCGTTCAAACTCATTGTGCCCCAAACTTGAAGCAGAAGTGTGGGGTAAGTTGTAGCCTGAGACTGCCATGATTCAGAGATATTATCTGGCGACTACAGGCAGAAAAAGGGGCACAACTGTCTCTCTGGAATAACAGTGTCCTACATGTTTACGGTTCACGGTACTCACTCACAGAAGAATCAAGAATTCTTTGACAAAATCATTATGGATCATCATATTGGAATCAAAAGTGAATAAAGTAAGCTGCAGCCTCGCTTCGCAATTCCTAGCATTCAAACGTTTGCTTCGAGGAGAACGATCTCTCTCCGGCTTATCACGACGGTTCAATGTGATTCTGAAAGCCACGAAGCGTTGCACTTTCCGAGGAGAAGGACTGTCGCGTTGCGTGCGACGCGGCATGCGCACGGTTTAAGGAGGAAGTGCATGCCGATGAGAATGTTTTTAAAGAGCTGGTCGTAGACTGGAGTTTCGGCTGACGCGGTGCACATGGAGCACGACCTCGACAGTCAGGAATAGAATGGCAACATTTGCCGTCCTGGACTGGACTGAACTCCAGTCGTGTCAGTTGACCTTGCTTCGTGTGTTTGTGCTCTGCGTACTGCGTGCCCTGTCCAGAGAATCTATCAAAGGGAATTCAATCGATGACGGTTTTACCAGACACTAGCTGCTTATTTGCGGGATGACTTTCACCCTTGACTTTGATTCCAATGGAATATTACTAAAAGACAGATGTCTTTTTTACTTCACAAGTGCCTGCTCAGACATCTTTTCCACTTCCATTTCGGGATCCAAGCGAGAAAGGCTTGGATCCCACACATATAGGTGCTCGACTTTAGTAATCATGGATTGTGCGAAGGTGTTCCTGAGTTTAGGGACGGTAATATCTTGTTCCCTATCCGCGGCATGATCAGGATTGAGCCTACGAGATCCAAGCTTTGTTTATTTTTAAATCGGCGAACTAGAATCAAACTGTCGATGCCTGGACAGTGGACACATCGCTTTCCATCAAAACTGCTGACTGCATGTGCTCAGCTTTTCCCTCGGTCAAGTTCACCTGGATCAATTCTTTTGCATGGACACAAGAAATACTTTATGCGTTCTACAGTACTGTTGAAGAGCGAGTGCGACTACTCTGTTGGCCCGCATTTTTGTTTCATTTACACGCCAATTGAAGATACTTTAAGAAAGTGCCACGTCTTTGCGATCTCCCCGAAAGGCATCAGCCAGATTATGTTGAGTGATAAGACCGGCCCCTTAAATCCCATCACATTCATCCCACGTAGACTAATTGTTCTTTACGAACTAGATAAGCCATCGAGCTGGATACATGACTTGAAAAAGTCTTCCCATCGCTTGTTCACTCCACAACTATGATGGCAGCAAAGTACAGGGTGTCTGCAGGTATCCCTCCCGATTTACAGTTCTGCAGTTAGATCTAGTGAAAGCCACAGTTTGCAGTAACGGCATCCTCAGAGCCTTCCTTTGACTTGTCATGAACTTTGCAAAATTGGCACAACTCTCCCTAATGTACGGAATCGAAGACAGCAGTGGTTGCAATTTCGGTCTTGTTATCTATTCAGTATATCGCCATTCTCAAGTTGACAGGCTGACTTGGTGTGGACCTCGTCACTTCGGAAACGCTGGTTCAATATGCCACATTTCTGACCAGCAATGTCACGAGGTGCTAGTGCTATGCGATGCCTTTGAAAACATGACCAACGTATGCAGGTGAACAATACATACGGCAGTTTAGTGACAAAAGACTCGATGAGTGCTCGCCTGAGTCATGCAGAGTAATTCACGACCCAGGACATAGAAGCTGAAAACTCTGATGAGTGGAAATCCTGGAAAAAATTTAATTCTCTGCACTCTCTTTAAACTTTGAGCACCATAAAAGTACACAACAGTAATGCACGGCCCCGCGCTGGCTGGCAAAAGGGCTGATCTTTCTACTATAATTGGTGACAAGAAAACTGCCTAAACTCAGCTCTGAACGGGAGCTGAACGAGAGTATACTAAATTACATCTTATACAGTCTAAGTCCAGAGAAAATCTCCGGATGGTCAAATCACTTCTATACTGTCAAGCGAAGGGCCTCCTGAGCTCTTCAGGACCCTGCGAATCAGGCTTGCTTCGAAGATCAGTATATCAACAGTGAACCATATATGACGACACTTGGAAGCTGATCTGTAGGCCCTGAAAATGAAACTCAGACGCCCCATTTTGACAAAACGAGCTGCTGGAGTCGATGCCAGCAGCAAGGAAGGGCAGGGGCACAACAGCCCAGTTTGACGTCATGAACATGAGGGAACATGATTTGGGGAGCTTACCTATTCTTCTAATGTACAGATGTTGGATGTTGAAATATCATCATCATCATCATCATCATTCCTTCTTTTGTCTGCAACCAATTGTGCGTTGTCAGTAACAATATGGAACCTCAAGAGGCAGCCTGCTCTTCTGACTAGACCTGATGCAAGATGGAAGACATTCTTTCGGGGCCCTGGCCCTCACACTTGTACAGATTCCTCACATGTCACTCCAGTCTTCCTCGTTATCGTCATCTTCATCGCTACCCGCGAATGCCTGCAGTGGGCCAGTCAAAATAAGGATTTTCAGATTACAATCTTCCATCAAAGCCGGCACATAGGGCCATCGAAAGTAGGTTCCCATCACTTCAACGAGCACTGGCTTCAGGGTACCATCTGATGTTCAAAACAATGTACAAAAAGATCGCGACATACCCAATCTAAAACCAAGGAAAATAGAAAATGCTCTCCGACGCTAACAATAATTGCAAGATACAAAGTCACCAAGAAGTGGAGGTTTAGGGGCAGGAAAGGAGAAGTTTCTCGTCCCCTCAGAAACTTGGGACATGGAAGGAGCTTGACCTGTCGAATAGCATTGGCCTTCTCTAAGATGGCGGCAACACTGATACTGTTTGTCGGTCGGACAGGAGGAGGTTCAACCTTCTCCACCACTGTGTGTCTCAAGTTGAAAGACTGCTCACAAAAAAAAACGTGCGTAAGTGCAGAAAATAATTACCCACCCAAAAAATTGCATGCTCCATCGACTTTCAAAACATTTGGTAGCAGCATAGGCGAAAACGAACACAACAGCAAAGCACAACACACCTGAGCACGAATTTGCTCCAGAAGGTGACTTCGATCATCCGGTTTCCTAACCACTGGATTTTGCATGGTCTTCACCTTCTTAAGCTGCGGCAGGACATACGTATTTAGTCCCCATGTTCACCAAAACCACAATTAAGCATCGCTAGTATTGCACCGTTCAAAGGGACAACATCGCAACAGAAACCCACCACTGCACCGTTATCCACAAGCAGCCAGCCGTGTTCTAAAATTGTGAAACAAAGGCAAGGAAACGAGCTGCTCACCATGCTTCTATCGTGTGATGTTATAGCCTCCAGAAGAGCATCCTGAACGTCTGCAACTGTCGACCCTCGTTTTGCTGCGGAAAGGGGAGGTGGAGGAAGTTCGTGCAGAGTACGTGAAGGTGGAGGTGGTGGGTGTGGAAGCTCATGCAAAGTTCTCGTGGACATCGGTGCAGGATTGAAGTCGCCGCCACCACCTTGATTTTGATTTTTAGTGGGAGGAGTCGGGGGAGGAAGATTATGCAGAGGTCTTGAACCGGGTGGTGACAAGGTCGGAAGGGAACTCACGGATCTGGAGGGAGATCCCCGGAAATCAAGCAAGGGCTTTGAGGGTGGTGTTGGGGCAGGAGGAACAGAAAGAGCAGAGGCTGGAGACCTCGAGTCAGACTTCGAAGGTGCTTTCGACAATATCAGATCGTTTGCAGTCTTGAGGGGCGGAAGCGGAGGAAGTTGTGCAGAGCTCAGAGCTGAAGAAGAGATTTCCGTTTTCCTGAAGGGTGGCGATGAACGAAGATCATGTTCACTTCTCAGCATTGGATCCAGGGCGGTTCTCGACGCCACTGGTGGTGGTGGTGGGGGTGGTGGTGAAGGAACCCGAACAGATGATGCGCCATCAGCTGCTGTTGACCGGGATGGTGAAGGAGATTTGGATGGAGCATCATTGTACGGGGTAGCATCATTGTACGACGTGGATGATGCGGAGGGGTACACTTCTGATAGCTTAGAAGGTAGTGGCATGAAGGCATTATCTTCGATATGTCTCTGACGGTCTGAAGGAGAAGGCTCAGACTCGGTTTCAGATTCAGATTGAGGTAAAAGAAGATCTTTCTTAAATATTGCCCTGGATACGGACGCAAGCTCCGCGAGGTTCTCTGACGAAGGTACAGCCGACGAGAAGTCGGCCAATATCTTCACTGCCACTGAAGACGAGAAATCCTCTGCAGAGCTTGAAGGTGATACGGGAGGAGAAAAGTCAGAATCATCTGAGGCGGACTTCGCAGTTTCCTTCTCATAGAGATCATCTTCGGGTATTTCCAGCTCCTTGAGTTTTGAGCTTGCACCCTCAGCCGGCTCCCGGGATGGTGACGACGAGGAAGGTTTAGGTCCAGTGGTTGGTACATCACTGCTCTCTGCCACAGGAGTACCTTCAGCATCCTGCTCTTTCGATAAAGATGACACCGATACTACTTCGCGCTTCTCTGGTGCATCGACCGCCGGTTTCGATTCACCCTTTTGCACATCGCTGATGTCCTGTGTCGAGACGGGTTCCTTCGCTGAGACAGAAGGAGCCTCGAAAAGCGGGTCCTGTGCACGATTGAACGCAGAAGCAGCTTCGGGCTCTTTGGGTGACAATGATGGAGACCTTTCTGCAGGCAGCTTCGACAAAGTGGACGACTGGACTCTTTCAGATTCCCAAGATGATGGCGATGACTCAAATTCAGTTTTTGTCACTTCAGGCTGCTTGGGTGATGGTGAAGAGGACCGAGATCTTCCTCGAGGCTCCTCGGGCGAGCTGGACCGAGATCTTCTCTCGAGGTCCAGAGGAGTGGCGGACGGCCTCAATTGCAGTTCCCTTGGAGGGATAGGAGAGGGCTTCATCACTTGCAGAGGCTCCCCTTGGGAAACAGGAGACGCCTCTTCAACTTCTGCCTCCTTTGAGGAAACAGAAGAGAATTTTGCTTCAGGCTTCCTCGGAGAAATGGAAGACGATCTCACTTCATGAGCTTTCGGAGAATTGGAGGGGGACCGTGCCTCATATCTACCGAACGAGTTAGAAGGAGAGAGAGTGGGACTGTCGATGAAGTGCATACCTGGCCACTCGAGAGGGGGTGGTGGAGGAGACCCGGATCTCGACGTGGGAGACATTGCCAGGGCTAGAATGGGAACTGGGGAGGTTGGACTCATGATAAGCTCACTTGCATAGCCCGGTCTGGTGACAAACCCGGGCCTCGACTCTGGAGAAGAAAGAATGTTGCGGGAAGTTCTGATCGGAGACAGAGAATGTAAAGCACTGAACACGGGCGAGTCAGGAGATGAACCGGAACTCAATGACATACGGCTCGAAGTCGGCGAGGGTACTTCCACTTCAATCGGAGCAGAAGGGGGTGTGGAGGAGTGGAAAGAAAGCGGAGGCAGAGTCCTGGTGGTGAGCTCCTCCACTTGAGGCTTGCGGGCAGAGTAGACCGAGACTCTGATCAACCTTTGACGTTCTTCCTCTTGCTTGCGTTCCTTTTGGCGCTCCTCCAGCAGCCTCTGTTCCTCCTTCTGCCTCAGCTCCTGCTGCCTGATCTGCTCCAAGCGCAGCTCTTCGAGTCGAGCTTGCTCCCTGCGCAGTTCCTCTCGTCGTTGTTGTTCCCGACGGAACTCCTCCTGCCGAATCTGTTCCATTCTGAGCTTCTCCTGTCGAACTCGTTCCTTTTCGAGCTCGGCCTTTCGAATCTGCTCCTTACGGATTTCTTCCTGTCGGGCTTCTTCTTTGCGAAGCTCTTCCTTGCGGAGCTCCTCTTGTCGAAGTTCCTCCTTGCGGAGCTCTTCCTGGCGCGCTTCTTCCTTGCGCAGCTGCTCCTGTCGAAGCTCTTCCTCCCTCTGTTGTTGAAGTTGGAGCTGAATTTGCTGCAGTCTTTCCTGCTCTTTCTTGAATTGGTGCTCTCTCTGAAGCTCCTCCTCCCGTTCCTTCTCCAGACGTTCATCGGCTTGTATCTGCTCAAATGTGCGCTTTTCAATATCTGCGACCATCTTGCTGACTCTCACTCCAGTCACAGAATTGAAAGAAGACGAATGACCTACCTCGTGAGACTGTGAGAAATCCTCATATTGCTTGCCAGCTCTTGGACTCGGGCTTGAGCTCGAACTTGAACTGGAGCTTGAACTAGAACTAGAATCACTGCTATTTCTTCTAACATGGACTCTGAGAGGAGGTGACACTATTTTACTAATATCGAGCTTTTCGCTAGAAACTGTGCCAGGGCTATCTCCTCGTAAAGAGCCTCGAGCCTGCTGCTCTCTAAGTGACAAGTTTTCGTTACTGGAGATTCGCGAGTCTAAGCCTAAGGCCCTTCCCTCGTCTCTCGGGGGAGAGTTGCTGTTGCTGTCCTTGAGATCAGACATTCGATCGGAGCTAGCGTCTGCGTAGTGCCTGGTTCTAGGCTCTGAGTCAGAATCGGCTTCTGATTCCATCGTTGCAAGGGCGTCAAGGAACTGATCCCCTTCGCTGGCAACTTCATCTGAATCCTTGAAGGTCTCTTGTCGAGACGGCTGAGGCTTCTCCTCGATCACATCTTCACTGTAATCGACATCCTCCCACTTTCTAGACATTCCTTCTTCACTGTACACGTCTCCAGTGTCTGCGTCCCGGATTCTGTACAATCCACCACTATGACGAGATGTTGTAGGTTCATCCTCGTAGTGCTGGCGATCTGGATCCATGCTTGTCTGGGAATCCAGCCTGGACATACCAGAGTTTTGAGAATCCAGCCTTTGGAGACCATCTATGCTGTTTTGAGAGTCCTGTTTGTGGAGACTATAGGAGCTGGCACCACCCCTTCCATACTCATGGCTTGCAGCGTGAGAATCCTGTTTAGCAACAAATCCGATGCTTGGATTGTAGTTCAGATTCTCCAATGCCTGTTCCGACCTGTCTGCAACTGGCAGATGCCACATCCTGCACAGCAAGCAAGAATTTCCAGAATTGAATGAAAACAAATCACGAGATGGAAACTTCCTTATACAGGAATTGAGACGTATTCTGATGCACTTTATCTTAACATCAAAAGTTCTAGCTCGTGGGGAAGCAATCGTATGCAACAAACGAGACGTGGACTTGACCAAGCCAATATTCTATCTCCATTGATGGCATGATAAGTATTCAACTATTAACAACTATCAGGTTTTACGACAAAGAAACAATGTTCAAACCTTGGGAGCATATCAGGTCCAGGAGGAACAAGCTCTTTGCTGTATTCGGGGTTGAACCTGGAGTGAAGTTGATCCACAGGGATACTCTCCTTCCCATCCACATTCCGGCGCCGTCTACCCTTCTACTCAAGTCGAGAACAAAACCAACATTCAACAAAAAATCAGTGTCAAATCAACGCTCCACAATGAGAAGAGTATAAATTGCACAATCTCGTCCCATTCGCACAAAAAGAGACTGAACTCAGCAAAACCAGGATACGATCTGATCAAGGATACGATCTGATGAACTTCCATTGTGACATAGACAGACTCGGCAATCTACAGATTGCTTTTGGACCAGAAAGTTTTGAACTTTACACTTGAGGAAACGACACCAGAGGAAAAAAAAGTTCTTGAGTACCTTTTCTCTTCGGGCTCTCTTGTCTCGCTGAGCTCGTTCTGCCTTCATCAACTCTGAGCTCGCCCACTCAGTTCTGAAGAACGAAGGATCCGTGTATCGCTTCAAGCAAGCTCCAGCGCCCGCAATATCAAACCTGGTTGCGAGAAGGCAAATGCATCAGTCACTTGTGGCCTCCGTTATTAAGACATAAATTTAAACTGATATCTTACGTTTGTGGTCGATATTCTGTTATGTTATACAAATGGTTGGACCTTAGTGTAGCGATTTGAAAACCAGTCAAAGTTGTGTTTACTCACTTATCCAGTAAAAACAGTCGAGGAGGTCCCCTACACTCTTCATACGAATTCCGTATAAATTTTGGCAGGTCCCCTTGTGTGCAATGATTTTGGTCATTACGTATGCTTGCATGCCACTCCGCTCCTACAATCCTCATCATAAGTACAGATCAGCCATCAGTAAACTTATTATAAAAGGAAGTGATTATTCTCTATAGTACGTAATACTTCGATACAAATTGTTTCCCCAACATTAAAGCTTAACAAAAGAAGGCGCTGGAAAATGTCAATTGAAGAAACTCATTCATTCGCCTGTGAGCTTCAAGCTCAAAGAAGAATGCAACCAAAGAAAGTGAAGTGACTGTTTGATATGCTTATTGAGGAAGATCACCTGGAGTGTAAGCGAAGCGAAGCTGGTTGGTTTCAGATAGCAAGGCCTTCTCTACAGCTGGCATTTCCGCCTCCAGCTGTTGCACTCTAGCCATCAATTCATGTCCCCTAGATGCAGTAGCCATGACTTCTTCATGTAAATCACGAAATATCTCTGCAGCAAACCTGTGAAATGACCAAAAAAACGAGATTCAGCTACAAGATCAAACTGAATGACACCAACGACGAAAGCTGTGGAAGTTAAATCCGGTCTACCCCGATGGATTCCAAGCCTGTGTTCCATGAACTGAAGTGAACTTATATCTAAACATTAAAAGGCGCTTTTTTCCTTATACGTATGTACTCATGTTCCTCCGTCATATAAATCTGAATCCAGAGAGATTTTTCGCACCACAACCATACGTCCACTAGAGTTGCTTCGCAATTATGAACTAATACCAGACATTCTATGTCTTCCCAGACAGTTGACTGAAACTGGACCTATCAAGTGATCAAACCCTGTTGGCTGAAGCTTCGTCCCAGTAGGTGAAACCTTTACATTCGTAAGCTCAATCTAATCCGAGAAGAGGCTGCCCTTTTCTAGAAGAAAATCCCACAGCACATCCCATCATGCCTCCTGTATTCTTCCGATATGCTTTAGAGAAAAGTTGTCACACTCCTGGAAGTATTCTCCAAGTCTTCTCGAAACTCCATCTCATCTAAAAGGTATAGTCTGTTCGTAGATGTTCAGAACGGAACCAACTGAAACTGGTATAGAAACTAGGAAATGAAGCACGTGTGTCCCATCAATTGGAACGCTCCCGATAGCAACCGAGCGCATAAACTTTGACGCCTGTGACCAGTACTTTATGCTCTAGATGAAGATGGATCAATTTCGCAAGGAGCGTTTCGATTGAACTCCAAGGTAATGGAATACCGAAGGGGTTTATAACTCATCGATCAAATCCAAAGTTGAGAGCAATCCACATCTAAGAACTCTCAGACGGCATCTACACAATGTCGAGAACAGTGTCCAAGAAACCTGATCTCATTTGCATTGTCAAAACAAACTGGTACGGAAAACATGAGTCCACATCGAGGCACAGCAAAGCAGAGCAATCGAGGGATAAACTTGGAGTACATACTCGGCTAGGTCACCGAGCTGGCGAACAATGCCGACGAGACCCGCCATCGCCACTCCTTCCAGCAGCCCTTCAGGATCATCCTTGGAAGCAGTTCTGTAAAGCTGCGGATTGGCGAGGCTGTGCTCATTGCGGATCTCATAACGTACGAGCGGCATGGCTCCCTACCTCCACCGGCCGGCCACAAAGCTCGCTCTTCCTCGAGCACAGCAAGCCCTGGCTCACCAGTCGATCGACAGTCCGTCCCGTTGTCCCGATCGCTCCGATGCGAGAGTATCTCGATCCCCCAATTCCTTCCTCCGTCGTCTAGACGAACAACAATGCAGGCAACGACATTGATTTACTTGCTCTACGGTTTACCAGCTCCCTCGTAAACGAGTCCTACGACGACGAGAAGCTCCATCCTGTCAAGGGCTCGCATCGAAATGGGAGGGCGCGACTCGAAAGGCAGCAGCAGCTGCTTAGCGAGGAGCCGAAGAGGAAGGCCCAGCAGCAGCAGGCGGAATGTGGCCTGCTGAGGCTGCTGCTGTCATGACTCTGTCGCCCTGTGCTCGTGCTCGCTTGCGTTCGCGATGTGCGAAATTTGGCCGACAGAGCGAATGCCAGCCAGCCAACAAGCAGCACAATGCTCTCAGCTCCGCAATCGGATGCCTCTTCTTCTTCTTCTTCCTTCCATGGACCACAAGCTCTCTGTGTGTCTGTCTTTCTCTCTCAACTCCCACACTGAACAGGCCCCGAAGTTCGTGCAACTTCCCTCTCTTCTCTCTACTCTCTCTTTCTCTCTTTCACAGAACTGTCTCCTCCGCCCTCGTCCCCACCACCGCCAATCTTGCTCTGTCACCTCATGATGTGGTCACCCCCCTGCCAAATCTGACTCCCTTGCCTTTTCCTGAACCTGGTCTTCCTGCCCTGCCCTGCCCTCCCTGCCTGCTGTTGCTGCAGTCAAGGCTGGCGATCAGGCACAGCTTAGCTGCTGCTCCTCCTGATCCTCCTGCTACTTACTCCTCCTCCTCCGGCATCATCGTCGTCCTCTGCTGCTGCCGCTGCCGCCGTTGCTACTCTGCACTATTTGCCCCTTCGTCGCTTCCCTCCTTCTTGTTCTCTTTCTGCCGCACTCTCTCTCTCTGTCTCTGTCTATGCACAGAGCAACAAACTAGAGTTCTCGCGAGGTGAAGGCGAAGGAAGTTCACCGCCACCACGCATTCTTTTCAACTGTCATGTCAGGCGAGCACTGAGCTTTTCCAACTGCACATTAACTCGACCCCCAAACCCAACCCAACTCAACCAGAGCTCAGAGCTCGGAATTCCAGGCGGCCTCGGACGGGCTCTCGATCTCTGCCATAGACGACCCGGCATCCGAGAGAAAGAGAGAGAGAGAGGGGAGATGGTGAAGTCCGGTAGTGGGCGAGTGACCACCTCACGAGGAAATACTATACGCTTGAGCACTGTACAGATGTATTATACAGGCAGACATCTTGCGCGCGTGTACCGGGTGCCTGAACGGCTACAGCTGCCGTACTGGCATATGAGCTTGCGGAGGATGCGTTGCAATATTTGATGGCGAGACGGATTTGCGGATGTTTTACTCAACCCGCGAATCGTGAAAGGGCTAGAGCTCATTGCTCTTCCGTTGAACCCATTGTTGCCGTCCAGGCATGGAGACTGGATTCTTGTCCACATCTATGGGTGAAATTATTTCATCGGTCCCGGTCCGCGGCAGTTTTGGAAACCTACGAGCTCGATGGGGATGGCGATGGCGATGGCGTTGGGTGGACGGAAGGATGGTAACAGCTCCAGTACGTCACACGAAACGTCACCCACAACTTAATGCCAAACTCTCTTCACTCGTTGTGGGATGGATTAATAGCTTCAACTTCAATGTGCGTTGCTTCAGTAGACGAGACCATAGCGACTCAGTCGGCAGCTGGGAAGCATTATCAGCGACCCTGGAGCTGGTGAATTAATAAATTCGGTATGTGCCTATGGTCAAAACTCGTGTATTGTGCTGCTCCTCCCTTAAGTCCAATCGGTTGAAGCAAATTCTTTGCTGTGTATTGTTGGACCCTGGTCTCAAATAAAGCTTTGGGTGGTGGTGGTTCATGAATGCGGTTCTCCTCTGCTTGTTGACTTGATGCTCGTTTCACAGTTCCCCCTCGAGAAAGGAATCTTGCTCCATCCGGCATCATCACCGGCAACATTTATGTACATTCGGAAATGCTCACATATTCTATTCATCGCACGTTCGATTCATTTCCAGCATTAATACAATGCTCGACGCCTAGCTCTTTCCTGCATGATCGAGCCCCATGGAATAACTTCTCCACGGAGCTTGACCTCCTTCTACCATCACTTCGTTGTTCCCAAAAGTGAATCCATGGGAATCAAAAGTAGTGGCAAACATCGTTGCCGAGCAAGATGACATTTTATTCTGGACACTTCAGCTTAAAGCAATTTTTTTTTAAGGAAAATACTACAAAAAGAGTATTTCGCTTGCCTGTTGCTGCTGCTAAGATACATGGGATGGGGGGTAGAGGAGACGATGTACTTCACATCCCTCCGTGTACGGACACGTGTACGCAACTGTAGTTATGGCCGGAATTTCTCCGGCTCCTCCTCCCCCTCCTACTCCTCGCACACACCGTCAGTCAGCCAGCCAGCCAGCCGGCGAGGATCCATGTCCTCCGTCCCTCGCACACTTTCACTGGACCACAAAACACGCACCAGCTCCCTCCCTCACCCCCTCATCTCTCTCTCTCTCTCTCTCTCTCATATTCCATTGCTCGCTCCATCGACCGAGAACAGAAACAACAACATCAGCAGCAGCGGCAACAACAACGGAAGAATCTGATCTGGACATTCTGTACCTTGTGGTCTTGTCATTTTAACCTTTTCCCTGCGGGAGGTGAAAGTTGATGACTCCTGGCTGGCTCCGCCTTCAAGAGCTCGATTCAGCCGAGCTCAGCTCATTTATCAGCGGTCCAGGCCATGCTCCATCACTGTCTCTCTGTCTGGTTGCCCACTGTGCTGCCTGTCGGGCTTGTCTGCCAACGATGGATCTCAGCCATGCTGCAGATACCACATACCAACCAGGCGTAACTCCTCCCCAACTTTGTACCCACTAGAACCACGGCAGCAACATCAACAACATCAGGAGAGATATTCGTGTTCCAGCTTCACGGCAGGCAGGCCGCCATGGTCTGATTTACCGAAGAAAGTGTGCTCGTGGACAAAAGGAGACGAGCATTAAGGAGAGGAGGAGAAGAGTTTGAGGTGCAACAAGTCCAGCCTTTTGACACTAATGAATTCCATGTTTGTCCGGATGTTGGCACAAGGGGCGTTGTCCCACTTTCCAGGGGCTGGCGAGTGGACTGGGGACCGTGGGCTTTGGGTCAAGTCAAGGCTTCTTCCGAGAAAGGGAGATGAGAGCCCCAGAGCTAGCGAGCGATCAGCAGACGGAATAAACTTGTCATGTGCACCATTTACTGGAGTCCTCGGGGCACCTATTAATGGTGCAATTTATTGATGGGGGAACCGAAGATGGCCTAATGTTAATGTTGTTGTTGTTGTAGTGTTTTGTGTGCACGTACTTTTGGAACTTGTCAGTATATCCCTTTGTTCGTTGCTATGAGCTCCTCGTTCTCCTCGTCTGCGTACAACTCGAAGCTCGTCAAAAGGCTAGCAGCAGTTATATACCGTCTACGACTTCGGCCCCTACCTGCTTCGAAGATACCATGACTTTCTTGTTGTTGACAGTTGGTGATCGAGTCAAACGCCCTTTCACTGTCACCTTCTTCTTCCCAAGCCCAAAATAAACTTGCGGATGGACGTTGAATACCTGACACGACCTGGAACGAGACTTTTAGATGTTTCAGGACCGAGCGACTCGTAGCCTTAGATCTCGTCAGTGGACACCGGGAGAATAGGATCGTCAACTTGGAAAGTCGATGATTTTGTGACAATACTTATCCCATTGAACCAGGCTCTCAAGTAGCTCTACGACCTACAGAAGAAAATTTGTTCTGCTCGGCCAAAGCAACCACATCCAAGTGGCCGTTACGCCAGACCAGCTTCCACATGTGTCTCTCTGGGCATTAATATTATTAACTACGCGGTTGCTGCATATTCCTGTACTTGGATGGATATGAATACTTTCCCCATAACAACTTCTCCACAATGTACTTGCTTTCTTAACTTGGGAACCTCGGCATCTAATCCGTTCCCAGATTAGTTTTTCCTCCCTCGGAAAACTTCACGAGATCCTACTTCTGACCTCGATGAAAAGCTGTGAACAGAATTCCGTGACCTCTGGTGTACGAAATTCTTACTATTTTTCACAATAGGAAGTTTTCGATTTTGAAATAATGCTCTTCTTTGAACTAATACAAACATATGACCATAAAATTAGCCGTACTTGATAATAGAAAAAGTTATAACCACGACTTTGATTAGATTTATTCACAATCTTCGGGATTTGGGTTTTGTCTGTCTATAGGTTGAATCCATCGCTGGGATACAACAACTTCAAAGTGGCTGCACGCACAGCACCAGCAATGAGCACTAAGAGAGATGTCATGACAATTTCAACATTGGGAAACTCATAACTCTGGCGTGGTATGGAATGGAGGGCGGCAGTTTCGGAAGGGCTAGGGATCGTTCCTGGAAACGATGAGAGTATTGGAGAAAGTCTCCTGGATCAGAAAGGAAAAGTCGTCCACGAATCAGGTGGGGAGCGATGTGGTGTACGGGCCAATCGGGGGTGCGGTTCGACTGCTTTAAAGGCTAAAAGTGTGATGAAGATCGGTGTTCACCGATCCAAAAGTTTGTGAAGGTCAAGGGGAAAAAAATCCCACGACAACATCAGCCTCCAACGAACAGTGAAGACACACTTCTCCAGACGAATATCAATCATACCGGATGAAAAGTGCCGGCAGGCCCTTTTCATGGGATTCAAGTGTTCCTCATGTTTCCATGCATTCAAAAGAGTCCTGCGACTATTTATAAAACATCGAGGCCAGCACATCCGTCATGGCATTCGATGCAAATCTCATTAGAGTGTAAGATGTTCAATAACTTCTATACTTTCACATGATAGCCATAGCTTATTATATTTCTATTCGTCATTGCAGGCCCAGGCCGAGTCTATGATGCTTCCTCCTTGCCATTCCAAAATGGCGAATAAGGAAGTACTCTGCCCAGAGCTCTCGAACATCTGTAGCTGTCACCGAGAATAAATGTCCAGATCACTTTGTCATTTCGAGAAATTCAGTGCATCTACTTGGCAAGGCTCGGTAACTCCTGCTTTCGATGCAATAGGTTGAAACAGATCTCTCGATCCACATCGATGCAAACTTTCATATGCCTCCGGAATCTATGATGATTGCCAACAGCCGGATCCAGCTCGAGCTCATCATGAGCGTTTCTTCCCATTCTTGTTGGCATCATGATGATTTCTTTCTTCTTTTCTTTCCCACAATCTTCTATAGAGCACTGCGGTAACTTATGCAGGAGATGCAAGTCCATGCTGGTCGATAAGCAGAGAGTGCTTAGCACCACGTGAGATTAGGAAGGCAGACTGTGTCAGACGAGGACCTCGATTTGTTTGTTATCAGAGGTGTCAGAGATCGAGCCCCCGAAGATTGACACGAGTACATTACAGTAGGAACTTGTGTGATCGAGGCTCCACCATTTATGAAGCAAGGGCCAAGTAAATAGCATAAAGGTTTGGAAGACCCCATCGAGCAATTATAGATGGAGCTTTGGATGGAGGATCCGTCATGAGTCCAGTATACGGAACGCTGACGTCACTCGCAATTGTGTACGCGATCGTTCGTCCGAGGATGCTGCTGAGTTTATGGTGATGGTAGAGGGTCCTGCACACTTTATTCACTTTCGTGTTCTGAGGCCCGACCGACTTCTCCCTCTTATTCGACCGCCTCTCGGATTTAGAACATTTCATGGCCTCAACAACTTGACACTTTTTTCCTCATGCTCGTCTTTATACCGTGTACCGTGTACCGACGTCGCCAATGAGTTGCACAACTCATTCAGTCCCATCGAGTACTCAAACTGCTGCTGCTACAGCAGCAGTGAAGTTGCCATTAGCGCTGCCACCCATTACATCGTTTGGCCCAACGACTTCCATTTTAGAACTTCCCTGATGCTCCGTGTGCATGCTTTGGGTCGAGTTTGGATGATCTTCGAGCGCTGGACTATCACTACTGGAAAGAAGATGGAATGAACTTGAGTTACAAGGGCAATACATTGGAATCTGCAACTGATTGTACGGCCTCTCGTTTTCTTGTTGGTGTGGGTGCCAATAACTTTGGGATTTGAGTAGAATTGAACAAGTC